GAAGAAGAAGAAGAAGAAGAAGAAGAAGAAGAAGAAGAAGAAGAAGAAGAAGAAGAAGAAGAAGAAGAAGGAAAGTGGTGCATATAATACAACAGCAAGCCTAACATCTCTTCTGACATAATAACTGCTCCGACTTAGTGAAAACAATGGGACAAAGTGATATTCATAATTAAAGTGAGTATAGATTTACAAATCGACCATTTTTTTGTCTTCTTTTATAGCTGTGCAACTTTAGTACGATTTATAATTCAAGGATTGAAAGGATATCATTTTTGCGTCAGTTCAATTAGATATTGTTGTATCCAGATTTAGTAATGTATTAGTGTATATGTTTTGTCTTGGATATATAACCAATAAAGAGCATTCGTAAAACAACAGATTTCTTTTCCCTGTTAAATCTTGCTTGTAGCGTCATTTATATTATGTCGCGTGATAGCTTGTCAAACATAGCCTGAATATTCAGCAAGTAATGGTAGATCGTTTCAAGTAACGTTAGGTTCATATAGAACGCTGATTTTGCACACAAATAGTGTTCATCGAATGCGTAGATTTTGCACTAGCGTTCATAGAAAAATTTGCAAGCCGTAGTAATTATATATTCGTAGCATGATTATATATTAGTCGAGGAAATAGTTTGTTGTCTCTGATTTTACTGTTAACAAATGCATTTGCATTCCGGTATTTATAGTTTTACTATAAAGTGTTGGGTCCGAGCGCTTGCGCACACCAAAAATATTAACTTTTTACCGCATTTATTTTTACACACACGATGACCACGAACGAGTTGCAACCAACATTCATTTTGGACGAATCTCTATACACTCTGTGCTTTCAGGCAGATGTTTCGATATTATTCCAAGTCGAGACATCTGTTATGAAAAAACCATTCCCATCCGACATTATTCGTATCGGTTGTGATGGTCTCTTGTTGAAATCTTCGGTTTTAGATGGTGAGGGTACTAATACTATCACTCTTAGTATTCAAAATCCCTTGACAAGGCAAAACCTTGTTATCCCTCCGCTTCATGGGATAAAGATAAACGAATTTACGAGGTACGGTGTTGCGTATGCACCGGTTTCCAAAGTGTACAAGGTGGCTTTAGCATTACCTCCCGAGTCAGAGGACTCGACAACCGAAGCCAAATGCTGCTATATATTTACTGTTGGAGATATTCACGGCTCGTGGAGAAATGTGTCTACTGCGCACTTGTCTATTGCGGATAAGAAAGCATTTGAAGGTCAGCCGTTGACTTATGAAGGGGGATTTATCCACTGGATCGCGCTCGACAATGACCGAGTTTTGACTATGGATATTGAAACAGAGACTATTAAAGAGACTCCTCTGCCTATCAATGAAGTTGATGCACAGCCAACGGTATTTCTGTCAACGGGGGAATATCTGTCCTTTTTGGTGCTTGTTTTTGGTGATGCGAATGAGCCATCGATTTTTGTATACCATCTTGATACTAAGGAGATGGTAACATTAGAGCTTCCTGAACAAGTGCACTATTTGTGTCCTATAATCCACAAGAATAGCCTCATCCGGTTTTAGTTTTTTTTTTTTCACCGTGTTTTTTAACTTGTTTTTTACAGGCAGACTTTTATAAACTATAAGATCAAATAAAGTAGGAGGATATGATATATTATATATGTATACTTTAGTCATGGCCAATAAGGTGCTTCATGTGTGCCCGTTTATTAAGTTTTTATGTGAACTTACGAGACGTAAACAGATTTATAAGTATCCTCAGTTTGTTCAAGCTGTTAATCGCCATGAACCATTAGTTTATGTTTTGCATGATCTATTATGCATTAGTCGTTACAATATTCGAATGTACGTAGTAGCTAGTTGTTATTTTCCCATCGGCATTAAAACCATCCATTGGTCACAAACTTCTTGTATATTAGTTTAAACCTCATGGATTCCATTTCCATGCTTTGAATGACAAGTTAGCAAGATTTTTTTTTTTTTTTTCGGGAGATCCATTTCTTGAGTTATCGCTTGCTATATTACGATGATTTGCAACAATCGAAAGATATTGTGATCTTCCAATTTCAAACACATTTACCAAAAAGTATTTACATGCACATGTTTGCTAACAGCATTGTATTTATCATAACTAATCCCAAATGCTATTGTTAGACAACTATATTTTCTTGCGCAAAATGCATACTTATGCTATAAAATATCATAATTTTAAATATATAGTACTTTCGTGTACGACATTTTAGTATGAAAGTATATATACATTCGTCCGAAAAGTATGACCCATTCGCAATCTAACATAATAACCAAAACCAATAATATTACTCGCACATATCAGCCTCAAACATATAATCATCATTCCAAATATCCACACAAATATTTGATGAAACTTCAGTCAGAATCTAATAGCTATAATCATAAGAAAAATCAGAGAGACCAACCATAGCAGTTACCACTTGAGACACAATGAAAATGGCACCTCCAATAATCACCAATATAAGAACAGCAGAGATTGGGTTCTTCAATAGCTCCACTATCGGCTGTAAAAGAGTGTAGATAGCTCCTGTGCTCACTGTAAGAGCATACAGAGCATATCTCCTCATATTGTCCCAAAATTCCTCCATCAATGGGCCTCGTGGGCCCAGAGCCATAGCCTTGTGGCCGTCGAAGCCCATCAAGAGAAGGGCGAGCCCAAAAGACATGGCCCCGAGTACCACCATTTTCGAATGCTTGTCTGAGCTCACTACATGAGGCTGCTGCACATCGCCGGTCAAGGATTCCTTGGAAATCAAGAGGGATTTGTCCGAATGGTTTGTTTTTGTTGTGTTAGTGTTGAATCTAGCGAGGGAGGGAGATTTAGCTCTGATTGGGATTATTGGTCTGTTTATTGCGGCTAAGCTACTGGGATTTGAGAGCAGGAGTTTGAATGTGTTCATTTTTTGTTGGTAATTTGAGATGAGAACATGGATATTTTCTGGGTTTTTGAAACTGGATAGATGAGTGGTGGTAGTGAGAATCTCGTGTTTATTCACTTATATTGCCTTATCCCAACAGAAATTCTATGGTGCCCATATGGTGCTCATATGGGCACCATAGAATTTCTGCTTATCCCAAGCTAAAACGTGCGTGGATATTTATTATTAGAAAAATGATACATAGTCAACTGTATAATTAGGTTAACAAGACAAGTGAGAAACATCCACTTGTGTATTTTTTTTATTTTTTTTTTTATAAATATTTTTACTTGTGTTGTCAACCTAATTGTACATTAGGTTGTTAATGTAGTAGTTCTTTTATTATTATTAACATAGATCGGATCGGCCCGGCGGGTCAACCCGGAGCCGAAACCGGTCTAGGTGGGCTATTCGGACCGGGCAACAAAGAACCCGGTCAAAACCCGACCAACACGGCCTTGACCCGGTTGACTCGGGGCATTGTCCCGGTTGGGTCAACCCGGTTGACCCGGCCCGTTGATTTTTTTTGTTTTTTTAAATATTTTTTGTTCTTAAAAAATAAAACTATGTATGTATATTTATATGGTAAATATTTATCATGAAATACACATTATTAATACTTTAATATACAAATTTTATATACATAACATTTAATTTTGTTACTTTTATGTATATTTATATGAAAAATACTCTATACATAATTTTATTTAAAATTAATTATCCGGTTCAGCAATTGACCCGACGGTTGAACCGATGACCGTGACTCGGAGACCTGCCCGGGTCGATTCTCGAACAGGGTTTTAAAACTATGATTATTAAGATTGTATTTGTTGCACTATTATTTATATTTATACGTCTTCAATGGAAAGTGTTTGAAAAAAAAATGGTAAGTGTTAGATTTTAAATGTTTTAAAATGTGTTATGGTGCGCTTTATCTGCGTAGGACTCACCTTTTGCCCCGATTCTCTAATTGTACTAGACTTTAAAGGAAAAAAATCCTCTAATAGTTGGTACTTAAATTTAAATTCCAAGTAATCATGTCATTGACATTCTATAACATCATTTACAGTACAAATTATGATTTACACTCTTTGGTAGAGATTAAATTAATTTCCACTTGCAAATATCTATCCTTGCAAATTAACGATACAACGTTCAGCTTATCCGATAATTTATTTCGAGACATCTATGACCTAATTTACATTTCAATAATTCAATTTTCCACACACATATATATATATATAAAGAGAGAGAACGAGGAGCAGCACCCCTTGAAACTTTCAAGGGAAAAGAAAATACAAATTGTAAATAAATTTGCAAAATAGTGTGACATTAACCGATAGCCATTGCACCCCTATGTTAGAGCACCCACAATGCTTTGAGTCTCTTTTTGTATATGTGGCATATAATTGGACTTAGGCCATGAATGACATGGACAAACCCTAATAAAAAAAACCAAAGAGCTTTCCAATGCAAAATTAAAACATTAGGTCTACAACACATATCAACCAATAAAAACAAGCACAAATAAATGTGTATTAATTGATGATTGTTAGGTTCACACTTGGGTCTAAAATGGACCCAAGCGTGGACTTGGTCTCTTTTTTTCTATTGCCACATAAGCTAGACCAAGTTCATCTTTAATTGCATTGTGAAACATTTTTTTATAGACTAAGTCTATTTCCTACATGGCATTTGAATTTTTTGGAAGAGTCCCAAAGCATTGTGATTGCTCTTAGAACATCTTTTACTCTACTTTATAGCCACATGGCATAAAAAACCTTACGTGGCATGGAAAATGTCTAGAAGGCTTTCTAGATGTAGAAAGCATTCTAAACAACTTATCATATATTATATTATTTATTTAATTTATCTCTCTTTTTCAACCAATTACAATTTTACACATCACAACTGACCACCACAATTAATACTAACCATTGGAGACAAAAAAATTTAAATTCCCTTTCTCCATGTCATACAACACAATTTTCACTGGAGATGCTCTTACCACCAGCTTCTTCTTTGTCCCATTTAAACCTTAACCGCCAAAAGTTTCACCAACCAAACTCAATTTTTGTCACTTTCTCTTGCGCAAAACCCATCTCCATTTCTTTAAAAAAACCCATCTTTTTGTTCTGTTCACGAATCTGAAGGTTTGTGTTGTGTGTTTGTGTGTGTGCGTTTTCCTGCTTTATCTCCCTTTCTACTCTTTCTTAGCCGCTGTACCTCTAACTCTCTTTTACTCATTATTTCTTCAATCGGTGGATCTTATTTTCCAGAAACCAGAAGATCATTCTATCCCCAGGTTTCAGTGCTGATCGAGTTTGCCAGAAACTTAAAGGTCATATCTTGTATTGCTCTTGTTCATGAAAACATATCCTTTTTGCTAATCATTTTGTGTACTGCTTTAATATGCGTCTTTGTTGATGAAAAAGCTTAATTTGAGTCCTTTCACAAAATGGTTCAAAACTAAAAACGCAGTCTTGGGCTTTTCACTCTACATGTTTCATTAATTCACTCTACATGTCCTTGGATTAGATGTTTTTCTTACTCTATATCAAGTTTCACTTTTATGTTACTGCATGAAGGGGGTAATTGGTGAACATCATCGTGTGTTATTTATAAAATCACATCACATCTTGCTAATGTCATCATGGAACTACTAATTTACTGAAATTAATTACTGGTGATTGTTAAAACTTACACAATAATGTATCGTCTACTTGAACAGATGTCTAACAATAATCCAGTAAAGAGGGGGTGCGATGGCTGGTGGGAAGGTGTTGTAACGCTATATGACACGTCCTTAAATAGTAAACTTCAAGTTTACTTACCTGATAATGCTATAAACTAAGCAATGCCCCAAACAGATTTAATAGCATAAAAAGATTTTGGTAATATACTCAAACTTGTGTTGATGATTTGATCTAAACTATATTTCATGGCAGGGGAGAACAAGTTCCTCCTGACCATAGAGAGGAAAGACATCCGGCTTTCCAAGGACTGGGTCGAGAATAAATGGGTGAACATCAGCGCAAAACCGAACATTCTATCTCTCCTGATGTCATCTCTAAACCCGCCACAATAAATCCACTTCCACAGCCAACACAAAAGGTTGAACTAGGTTCGTCACCTTCGGCTAATACAAAGTCTTTGGAAGATTTGCATTTAATAAAGCAGCTGCAAAAGATTAAAGAAAAAGAAGACTGGAATCCTAAGAGTTCAAGAAAAACTGCCAAAAGGTCTGCGTAGCGCACATTCGGGAAAAGAGACTGAGGGAAGATGGAAACATTGCAATAGATAAAAAGGAACAAAAATAATAGAGGTCATGAAGTTTAATTTTCTGCGCTGCTAATGTACTGTAATACAATCTTTTTCTTCTTTAATTTTCATTAAAAGTACTTAAGATTACACTTTGATTGAAATTCAACAAAAATTAAAAGCACATTAAGATCATGGAGGAATGGATGGCATCTACTCCACAAAATCCACTAGCTGACGAGTGTCGGTTGGAGGGCGGCTAGCTTAAAAAATGGTGAGTCACAATGGTAGTCTCGAACAAGGGAGGCGAGGATTCCTTGCAGCGTGCTGACATCACTGCGGCCGATAACGTCTGGTTGGATCTGCCAGAAAGGGCAAATCCTGTGTCCAGGTATGTCTTCACCAACGTTGAAGGCATAGGTGATAGCAGCGTACCACATGGAGTGTGACAGGTCTGGAATAGTACAGGTGGCATCCAGGGTTAGATTCCGATTAGTGTAAAGTGTGTAATGACCAATTTGGTTGGCGTTCCCATGAGAGTTGCGATTGTGCTCTCCAGTTTGGGCATTCCAGCGAGGAGTTGCGGTGAGATTCGACTGCTGGACGATCGACATTTTCACACCACCAGAGGCTGAACCATTTGGGGAGCATTCAGCAAGGGTGGAACTACCCTTCCAAAATTGGCTATACTTAGACATAATGGCGGTTAAGGGGCCGAACCATTCAGAAACGCCGTTCAGTTGAAGAAAGCACGCCCAACTATTTTCGACCACGGTGTCGGGCTCAAGAGTCGCAGAAATCCCATTTAACTCGAGACGACTAGCAGCATTTTGCCAAAGCCTCAGAGAGCCAGGCAAAGCAAGATTCATGCCAGGAGAGTGCATGATCAGCTGATCATTGTCGCTGTTAGTAAAATTTCTGCCAAAGAGAGTGGCAGCATGGTTGGGACCGTTGACATCAGAGGCAAACAGAGTGTCATTCATGTTGTCACGAACAGCAACAGAACATATGGTTCTCAGGCGCGAGATCAAAGCAGGGATATGTGGCACAAGTGTGCACAGGGGCTCAACAAGAACATAGCCACTTTCATGTGACCATTCGGGGGCCAGAAGGACATAAGGAGTCAGAATTCCATACAAGTCAGTCTCAACAGGACGAAAACAAGACAAGTTCTTGAAGAACTGAACCAATGGTCCAGGAATCCACAAGTTCTCGGCTTCAATAGCGGAGAGGAGGGATCTCAGCGGGGAAGAAGGTGGGATAGCTCCGGCAATTTCCATGGCATGGAAAGTCTGGATATAAAACAGCAGGGAGAAATAGAGCATCGAGTGAAGAGGGCTCCATCCCATGCAATTGTCAGTCCAGTGTTTGGTGGAAGCCATGGTGTGGTCCATGTAGCGGACAATATACGTCAGAACTCCGGCGAAGGGAATGAAAGTAGAGTTGAGTGGATAACGGTAATGGTCATATGGAAAAGACGCGGCGGCGGAGGAGAGGATCAGATTCTCAACATTGGGGTCAGGATCACGGCGGGGGGCTGCAGCGGGCTTCAAACCGGGTCCGTTTCTCGGCGGCTTGGATTCTGTCGCGATTGGCTTCTCGGTTGCGTTCGGCGACCAAGTCTCGGGCGGGGTTGTAAGCTGGCCGCGGGATTGGGGCAATGTCACCGATAGGAACGACATTGTTAGGGTTAGCCATTGATTAAGATTTAGGATGGATTCCGAGAAGAAATGAAATAAAAGTCTTGCAAAATCAACCAACAATTTTTCACAAATGGTTATTCCTCTCTATATATTAATCCAAAACGTGTCGAACCTTAGTGACAAGTTAACACACTTCGAATGCTGACATGATAAAAATTTATGCTTCAAAATATTGTTTGTAGTTAATTTTTCTGCTTTGGAATTAAGCTAGGTATAGACATAAATAACTTTTTTTAAACTTGGTAAGTGTATATTTACTTTTGTTATTTTTTTCCCTTAGTACAAATTTCCTTCTTAATACAGTCTTACTATCTTATAATTTTTTTTCACATTTCTCTCCTAAATTACGGTTTACAAATCACTATATGCACTGTTTATTCCTTTTTTTTTAATTAATTAGTCCATCAAATTAAACAAAATTTTTATTTTAGCAATAACTTTTATAATATATTTTTAAATCAGCACTCGTGTAGTACACGGGTATTGCACTAGTGACTTCTAAAAACAGAAACTTCCAAACGTATTTGTGTTTAAAATCACAGGTAAACAATACAGAGAAAATGACACTCAAATTTTATTATTTAATATTTATGTCAAAATACATATAAAATATTATACAACCAGAGCCGGCCCATGAAGCAGGGCGGGTCAGGTGATTGTTAAGGCCCCCACTTACCCCAAAGGCTCACTATTATTAATTATTTATATATATATATATATATTGTATAAAAAATAGTTTAAATAGTGATTTTTTTCTTAATTCTTTAGTAAGCTGTCGTTTACTTTGCGGGATGAGACTGAATAATGAAAACTGTACAGTGTTTACTTTCCTAGATTGGGATGAGATTGATCCCACTTGGCGCACATGTAGACTACGGGCCCCACTGCTTATCAAATATTAGACAATTAAATTAGTCCTGCCCCCCACCCAAAACTTTTTTATCTCAATCTTTCCTTTACATATTTGCGGGCCCCACTATTTCAGACAATACCATCATATAAAGTAAACGTGGGACAAATTGCTGACGTGTAAAGTATCATTGAATAATTTGTCTAATCCCATCACACAAAGTAAACGACCCCTGGTATTTAGTTGTTTTTTCTCATTTGACTTATTTCATGAAAAAAAATAATTATTAATTATTAGCAATAAAATTAATATGTTTTTACATATTTTTTCATATTCTTTTATTTGTTTTAAATTTTATCTTCTTGCTTGAATATATAAAATGTTATTTCGTGAGGCACGGTTAAATAATTTATTAATAGTCATTAGAAAATTCAATTGCAATCAACACATTTTAAGACGAATTTTAATTTATCGTTATTTAATTTCTTTGATATCTAACTAATAATTTTTATTTTATCGATAAAATTATTAAATTTTAATTGAATATTATATATTTGATTGAATTTAAAATATAAATATATATTTAAGTAAAGGAAAAGTTTTGAGTTTTAAGTTTATTTTTTGTTTTTAAGAAATAACATATTTTCTCCTTCCTTTTCGTTTGTTATTTTAAGATATGAAATTTAGTTATAAGTACTATATTATAAATTTCACAGCTTTTATTATAGCTTGTACAATATGATTTTTTTAGGAACATTTTTTCTTAAAAAAAAAAATGAAACTTTTAGCACGTTTTGCCCAGAACCTTATGAAGTTCACGACCAGCTCTGTATACAACACAAGCTAAAAAAATTTTTTTACAGCTATGTCCAAAAACTCTATTTTCTCTCTCTCTTGAAATCTTTAGGAAAGACACAAATTGGAAGTGAGTTTTGAGATTGATCAAGCCTTCTGCTTTTCTGCATAAGGTTTCACAAAAAAGAAAGTATTTATAGGACCATTGTCGTATGGTTACAAAATGTGAAAATGATCCTAACAACTCTTCTTTAATGAGAAACATTAATTTCATAGTGTCACAACTTGTTTAACTAATTTAAGATTAATTAAACCGGTAAGTTTCAAGCTTGTGCTAGTGGAACTCATCCCACATGCATTGTCTTGAAACTTACCCTACATTCATGCAATGTGTAACATCTTACACTAATGAGTGTAACATATACTCATCTTAATTTAAATTTATTTTAACCAAAAATATAACAATTAATCCCCTACTTGGTTAAAATATCAGCCAATATTATAACCACTATAGTGTAAGTGCATAAAATAAAGTATTTTTCGATTTGAACTTTATCTTAGTAATAATCAAAGATTGAGCCTCGTCGAAATCCCAAGTTGCTTGTAGCATTGAACCAATTATTCCTTGTGACGAAACCAGTGATAACAGACACATTTCACTATTCGGCGATCACCTATCAATTTTCTCGCTTAGCACTTTTATGGCCGTGTGCTCAATCCATTCGTGAACTTTCTTAAGAGAAAATTACAACTCTCATGAGAAGCGACACCACTTCTGATGGAGACGTGATCGCCCTCGTGTTCCTCAATAAATATGATCGGATGTTGTTGCTTAATTATTTATTTTATTTCCTTTCTCTTTATTATTATTAGATTTCCTTATTTATGCTATTTAGAATTAGAAAATAATTATTTGGTTTTATCTTTTTTAGCAAGTTAAGTTTGTGGGGAGTAAGACTATATATTTATGTATTCTTTTCATAACCAGACCGCGAATGAATTTGAGTTTTATATGAAATTGTGAGTTTTGCACGAGAGAGTATCTCGTATCTTTTCCGTTCTTATTCACGTTCTACATCAACTTCTAAGTTCACACAGGTGAAATTCTTCCAGCATTCTCGTTACTTTTAAAATGCTTGTCTAAATTTCATTAAAAAGTCTTATGCTTAACCGTCCAACAGTAACGACCAACATTTTTTATTTAATCTCAGATGGAACACACAAATTTAATGTTGTTATAACTAGTACGTAGCCTGTGCGATGCACGGTACAAAGATATTAGATAAGTCATTCCATAGAACTTGTCCATTAAGTAAATCATGCGATGTATGGGACAGAGAAATTAAATGAGTCATTTGCATATGGCTTGTTCGTTAAGGCCTAAAAGATAATATAATTGTGCCATCTATTTTATACCTCTTTTCATGAGCGTAATTTTTTTGTCGGGATGTTAAACCATAGTCGGTTAGCGCTAGCCCGTAAATTAATTAATATATTATCCCGCTAAAATGTTTATAGTAATATAAATTTGATTTTAGTATATATATTTATTCTTTGATATAAAAAAAATAACAATTTTACTTATTCTTGTTACTTGTAAAATACTCAATTATTATTTTATTATAAAATATGTTTCAATATAATGTCATTATTATTATTATGTATTAAAGTTATTGATGTAGTCTTCTTCTTCTTTTTATTTTATAATGAAAATATTTAATGTAAGTTAATATTATTTATTAATATAATTAATTTAAATTGTGTAAATAAATTTAAAATAAAAAATTGTGTACAAATATTTTACAAAATAAATACAAATATTTTTTTTAGAATTTAATTATTTTATAATAATTAAACATCTTTGATTTAGTAATTGCGAAAAAATAAATCCCTTATGTAATCAAGAGATCTTTCTAATTTGTATCATAAGGCTTTATAGTATGCAATGAAAATATATTTTAAAAGAATTTCACCATGGAAAAAAATCAAAAGAAAAAAATTATAAAAAAAAATAATCATAAATAAAATAATATTCTTAGAATTTAAAATATGTTTTCATGTCTATATCGATAATAACATAATCAATATGAATCAGGAAAAATTAAATTTGTTGTTTATTATAATATATATATATGAAATTATTGCAGATGTTAATAAAATTATTAAAGAAAAAAAAAATCTTTTTAAACATATCTGATTTGGAATTTTGTATATAGAAGCAATGCATATATTTTAAAAAGTTCTAAAGAAGGTATGCATTTAATGTTCCGAGATTTTTTGCTACTATTTTTATTAAATGGTTATTCTCTATATATATATATAGATATAGATATGTAATTTCATTTACCTAATTCAAAATTTGTATTCAGCCTGATTTTTTGGCAATCAAATGAAAAGGAATAAAAAAATTAAAATTTGAAATGAGACTTGATTTTAGATGCCATCAGATTTTGTCTAATAAATAATGAGACGGAATTTTGAATTTGATAAAATTATAAATTATAAATATATATATTTACATAAATTAAATATATATATATATATATTTAATTTTTAATTTATATAAAAAGATGTTATTGTATTTGTCTAATTCAAAATTTTTGTTAAACCCGATTTTAAGGCAACTAAATAATGAATAAAAAACTTTATATTTTAAATTTGAAATGAGAACACATTTTCTATCCAATAAGATTTTTTCCAAATAAAGTGAGGAACTATGCATTTATGGTGACCGATTTTCTAGCCGTTAGTTAAAAAGAAAGTTAATAAACGGATGAATGTAGGATTCATTTTTATAGCAGTCCGATTTTTTAGCAATGAATTAAAAAGAAAATTGAAAAATTGCTGAAAATAGAAAGTAATAAATATTGTTTGACTTTTTTTCTTACTAAATTTGATAAATGGTTAATCTTATTATATATATATATATATATAGATTTCACTTATCAACGACTTGTTTTTACCCAATGAACTTAAAACTAATCATTATGTTAAGTTGAGTTGCCATTATTGGTGAATTTATTTAAGAAGATTTAGTCACATCCCTCGAGATTTTGCTTACTAATCTCTCGTAAGAGGTTTAGAGAAAAGATCTACAAGATTCCCATTTGATCATACAAATGAAATTGATATGATTCTATCTTGAATCAATTGTATTACGCCAGAGACTTATATGTCTAGACTTCCCATTATATTCTCTACTATATGCATGGGCCAAAGTTGTTTGACTATCACAGTTGATATGGGATATTATATACCTAAGGAATAAACCAGTTCACTACGCCGGTCATACGAGCCCAATGTTGGAAATGCTACGTTGGTCGAGCAATAGCAA